CATCTCAGTGATGTGCACTAGAACACTTTGTATGGCGCCTGCCGGGGGCGGACAGGCAGCGTCCAGCCCGGCGGGGGGGGGGGGGGGGGGGGGGGGTTACCAGAAAATCTCCACTGAGACCTGGAGCTTTCAGAGAGACTGAGGGCTGCTGCTGTCATGTAAATGAATGGTCTGTGGTTTCACGTCGTGTAAACAGGGCCTCAGACTGGCTGCCCTGTAGAAATGTCAAATACCAAATTTCATAATGAGGATAGGCTGACCTCTATTTTTTTAATGCCATGTGATCTACCAAACTACATTTGTGATGAACCGTTAGATCGCAATCAACGTATTGGGCATCCCTGATCTAGATCCACAATGCATAACAAAATACTGACTCTGAGCATGCACATTAGTATCTGTAAAAAGGTTCATTATAGGGGAATTGAACAAGCAGATTAAAAATAAAGCTTCACCTGGCAAAGTAGTCCCATTTATCAACATCGATGCCGTTCCTTTTGTTGGCCACGATCTCATACAGGAAGGACTTGTCTGCAGAACGGCCTTTATACTTCCACTATAGAGACAGACAGGAACATGAACTTTACAGGACAGGTTTGAAGGTGAAAGGACCCAGCATACTCCATCCAAAGTCGAACAGTCAACTCGCGGTCATGTGGTTGGAGGAGGTTTGTTTTCACATACACCTTTCACAGTACACGAGACACACTGAGCTCTTGGGAAACCCTTTCTGCTGCAGTATACATCACCGGAGAGGCTTTTTCCGGCAGGGTCTCAATCTGTCCCTGCATCCGCTGTTTGGCCACAAATCCATCATGAATAAAGCGCCACACTTTTCAACGGACAAACTCCTCCATATGCATGATCTCCATCCAGGAGGCCAATCGACCATCTTACTGCATCTTGAACAGTCGTGCAGCTGAATGTCCGGGAGCTTTTCCACATTGACAAACTGCCACAATCTTCTTACCAATCACATACTTGAAGCGTACGCTTGTGAGGAAAAGTTCGCCCGGGCCTTGTGTCGAGGTGGGGTGGGTGAAACTACTTTGAGAACAAAATGACACGATTTTCATCACACAACTACATCAACGAGCGACGATTCTGCAGCTTTGAATGGAGTATGCAGGGCCCTTAAGTGCTCCCACGATGCCTCAAAAACACAAGATCATAAAACCAAAGCATGTTGTTGAATGCGACAGACTTCTTACCTTCTGTCCTGGACCTGAATTAGCATCCAATGGTCCAGCAATCTGTTCTTTAATAAAGTCCAGGTCCTGGGGCAGCAGCAGGCCGTGCTCCTCCATGACTGGCTTCAGATTGTTGTCCTCCACCAGGTAGTCGAACATGGCAAGAGAGGCTGTCTCATGCTGCAAGAAGTATAAACATAATCAAATGTAAGAACGAGCATAGATCCGTTTTGAAAATGAAAGCTTGTTGACTCCTGACTCAACGACAGACACTGCTGTAAATGCCGTATCCCTCACATGTGGCAGGCAGCCGAATGGGGCCATAACTTATGCAATAACCGAGTGTTTAGTAGATATCAAGGTTCAAGGTGACTTTACTGTCATTCGCATCACATGTACCACATGTACCACATGTGATGCGAATGTGACAAAAGCCCTGAGCTGCATAATTTGAACTCAAAAGAGATCAAACAAAGAGAAAATAAATAAATCAATGTATACAAATAGATTCTTTAGATCTATTAATTAATTAACTGATGCAAAAGGGGGCGGCATGGTGGCGCAGTTGGTAGAGCTGCTGCCTCTCAGCGAGCAGGTCGCCCCAGTTCAAATCCCAGCCGGAGACCTTCGGGGTGAAGTTTGCATGTTCTCTCCGTGCATGCGTGGGTTTTCTCCAGGTACAGTACCGGTACTCCAGTTTCCTCCCACCGACCAAACTCTCAATTGGTAACTCTCAATTGTCCCTAGGTGTGAGTGAGAGAGTGAATGGTTGTTTGTTTAGTTTGTCTCTGGACTGGAGACCTGTCCAGGGTGTCCCCTGCATCTCGCAGTGACAGCTGGACAAGGGCACCAGTAACCCCTGAGACCCCAAAAAGAAGTGGGTAAAGATAATGGATGGATTCAAAAGGGATACACATTGTTCTGTCTTTATAGCCAAGAGGTTATTTGAATTGGACTGCTATGTAATGTGGAGCGCTCTACAGAATATTTTTAAGTTTAATAACTGTGTGAGAGAGAAAAGAAAACAGCAATGTTACATTTGTGGTAAACTGGCTTTTCCCAGACTGCACAGTGTGGCTTAGGACCAAGGCCAGTTATGCCTAAAAAAATAAACCATCCTTACTGAGTTACAGACATTTTTAGTTCCTTTAGTTTCCAAAGACTGAACTGACAACAACTCACAAATGCAAACTCTTAAACTGCACAAATATAACAATTAAACAGACAGATTAAAAACTGGTGGGCAAACATGTGACACGTACAGACTATTCCCACTATTGTTTTTTTTTTTTAAATCAGATTTATTTAGTGGCAAAGCACTTTGGTTATTTTGCAAGCCTGGACTGGTACATTTTATTTGTGAGTAAAATTGTCATAAAATAGTTTTGATTGTCATAACAAAACAGAGATGACTGAAAAAAAACTAAACATGAAACGAGCAACAAAAGAGGTTCTTACCTTCCAAATCTTTTCTGGACGTGCTTTGGGCATAAACATGCCATCAAACATGTGAGAGAATGGTCCATGTCCTGGAAAGGGAGGAAAACTGTTAAACAGGTTTAACATTAGCTCTAATAAGCCTGTGCACATTTTTAAAAAGTCCATTTCAGGTTGGAACCAGATCATCTTCAAGTGAAACATTTTACTTACAAAACTCGATGAAACTGGAAACCAACAACTTCTATAACATGAACTTATGGTAGTCTGTTACCTTCGAAAAGCTCAGTAATCAATAAGCGACTGATGCCAATTACAGCAGGAAAAAAAATACTAAAACCTTTGAAATAGTTTAGTATACTACAGGCCTTCAAGTGTTTAATGTGAAACAGTGTTGTTTTTCCCCAGGGCACCACTCACCCAGGTCATGACAGAGTCCAGCGATCTGAACACACAGGATGTCCCTGCAGGTGATGAGCAGTTCTGGCTGCTTCTCATTGAGAGCTTGAACGAGCTGTCCAGCCAAGTACCCGACCCTGCATCAGCACACAACAAACAACTTTTTCCACACAAGACAGACAATAAAAACAGCAATCTGCTTGGCCTCGATGGCTCAATAGCAATAACTCACTATAATATTTACCCTTTGTCATCTGATGCCAACTATGTCTAACTTAGATATCCTTTAACGGTGTGTGTGTGCTACAAATCAAGTCTGATAATTTACCCAATGCTGTGTTCAAAGCGGTTGTGGGACGCGCCAGGAAAAACATAGTACGTCCCCCCGAGCTGCTTGATGTTTCGAAGTCTCTGAAACTGAGGCGTGTCGATGAATTTGATGAGGAGGGGGTGTAGCTCCACATGGCCGTGGATGGGATCGTTGAACACCTGGTGGCAGACAAATGGGTGTGAAAACACAACTAATATAGAGGTTACCATTCTTATTAAAATAAAGGAACAGCACGACTAGTATTATGTTAAAACCCCAATTTTAATCTTTATTTATGAAGCTTTGGTTTTATTGCAAGTTTCTACACTCCTCCGTCAGGGTTGGGGCAAATTCACATCATACCATTTGCTTCCTTATCAAGTTTTTACAAATTTTTTGCTACTGTGGTGAGAGAAAGAGGACCTGGATGTGATTTTACATCCTGTCCTCCCCAAGTCTTTGCTCAGGTCTTTTTTTATTTCTACAACTGCACCTTGTTTGGTTCAGCTTCTATGTGCCACAGCTTCTGGAGACTGTGCAGGATCCGCAGACGGTCTCCCAGACACCTGAAACAGAAATTCAGTTCAGAAAAAGTAGAATACAGTAAAACTGTGGGTGAAGCAGCAAAGCACTTTATTTTGATGAAGCTTTCAGGGCTGCTGCTCAAAGAGGGGAAACAGCAGAGGAAATATAAGATGTTAAACTTACTTTATGCCAATGTTTTCTAGGTCTGCATCCTTAAGATACCGCAGCCCCACACCTGTTATTTTTTGTGCTTAACAGAACAAAAATAACTAAAGTTAGTGTAAAAAAAAAAAAAAAAAAGGCTGAGCACAAACAGGCACGTGTTCAGTCAATAACACGCTGCTTTGACATTTAAAATCCTAATATTTAACCCATCTAAACTGAAAACAAACCTCTAAATGTGTCCTCCCATTCGCTAAGGTCTTCCTTTCGCAGATACGTGCATGCTTCCTCAACTCCCCATCCCGTGAAGTCCGAGTCCGGCAGCCGGACCACAGATACTCTCTTCTCCGGGGTGATGAACGCCTCTTCGTGGCTCGAACCTGGCTTTAGCGATCGCTTTCGACTCGCCATGTTGCCTTCACAAGCAGGAGGGTAATCTTTAAAAAGGGGGATTAAAGACACGACACACTAGAAGCGACAGAGTGCAGCTCGGCTGACGGGGAAATACAGCTGATCCGTCAGTTTAACACACAGCCGGGAAAAAGAAAAAACCCGGGTTTGCTCCTCGTTCTCAAAAGGGTCAAGTTAGGAAAAAGTAGAAAATACGTTTCCGGTTTTGTTTCAAAGTAAAAGTCTGACCCTCAACTCAAATTCATTTGTCTATTTTAGTTAAGGCATCGACGACTGAAAATCCTTTAAAATTTAAAAAAATATTTGGTTTGCATATATCTATCTATCTATCTATCTATCTATATATATATATATATATATATAATTATTTTTTTTAATTACAGTTTTAAGTTTATATGTGCATGCTGGTGAAGATTCCCAGTCATCCAGGACATGGCAAATTAAAAAATGTTCAAGACAAAAACAACTGGAGTTTATTTGTAGCAGAAAGTGAAATGTCTTCTGTTACAAATAAAGTCCAGTTGTTTTTGTCTTGAACGTTTCTGAACTTATATGTTTATACGAACAAAATGCATGTACACTCAGAGTTATGCCAAATTATTTAAAACATTTAATGTTCTTAATGTTAATGGTATAAATGTGATGATATTCATAGTGATTTCGGCAAAGGTATAATCAAAGCTAAATTTTGTGCAGCGTCCTTCTCTCACAGACCTGAGATAATCCCACCATATTAGAGAATGATATATAAAAACATTCTTGGTTAAATAAAAATTCTGTTTAACACGTCACCTTTAAAAAGTACATATAAGAAAGAGCACATATTTTTTTTAATCTTTATTTATTTATTTTTTACTCGAAAGTTTGTTTTGATGTATTTGAGTAAATTAGACCTTTTGCTTCCGGTAACTTTTTCTTGTCGACAGTTTGACGGGTATCCTGCGTGACGTCACGCGAAGGGCGGAGCAAAGAACGGATGCGGCGTTCCATGTCCATCGGACATAATGTGTAAAAATCAGCATTTTAAAATTAGTTTTTGTTGAGATTCAATAAATGACCGATGAAAATTTTATAGTATACAAAATAAGTGACAATTAAATTTTAACTTGCTTTGAAATAGAAAAAAAAAAAAGACTATTTAAAGAGTATGTGAACGATTTAGGACATTATTTCATAGCCGCGTTTCTGATTAAAACGTGAAGACATCTGAGCTCGCACCACCCAGTAGGCTGGACATAAAATGGCGGGAATTTAAAGTTTATTAAAGTAAAAAAAGGAAAAGTAACAAGGCCATTACATCCAACCACAGTAGTGTCTGTAGATGGAGCCCTTCAGTCGGTTATTTTTATTATTTACTTTCCTAAATAGAATACATTTTTCATTTTCTTGAAAAAAAAAAAAAATACAAATGTACATTTTTTAATAATACTTTTCAAATGACTAAAAATAATGTTTTGATGTTGTCTTAAGAGAAATCTGTCTGGGTCTCAAGTGTCATCTGAATTCACAAAAGTTCAATAAAATATACATTAGTCTAATGTCTATTGACCTTGAAGAAATATTAGAATGAGTGAAATAGATAGTTCTAATGTTCAAAAACAGACAATAGCATATTCTGTAATCAGAGACACATTTCTGATTCATTCATTCATTCAACCTTTAGACAGGTTATCCCATTGAGACTCGGGGACTCATTTACAAGAGAGACCTGATTTTAGCAAAGAGTGATGACAACAATGGATAACAACGACAACAATAGACAATCATAAAAGAGGCATACATTATTGACTTGATTATTAACTAATATATGACAGCAATAAAAGCACGAACCATCCAAGAGTGTAATTATCCTAACAAGGTTGAGGCAGGTCCTCTGGATGGGTTTGTCTTTGTTGAAATGCAAAAGGACCATCAGCCTAACAATTGATCGTTAGTGCTCTGGTGGCCACTTGCTATTCACAGAGGGCCGAGACTCATAATAACTGCATTATAAGAGGGGACTGAGGCCTCACTTCACAAAGGCTTCCTCTACTCCTCTCTCAGTCCAGTATTCATCTCTATCAAGGATGTGAACATCTTCATCCCTGAAAGAGTGACCGCTGGTACTGCAGATGAGAGTGAGCTGCAGAGTCCTGGCCTGATGATGATGTGCTGGGTCATCCTTTGGGCCAGTGGCTGTTTAGTTTCCCCGAAGATCACGGCCCGCCTGGCACTTGACAGCATACATAATATTACTAATATTACATTATAAATAATATTATTACAATACACATAATATCAGTAATATCATGTATGTTTGTGTATGATTGTTTTAGGTTGTTAGGCTGATTGTCCTCCTTTTGTCAATAACTAGTTTTGGGTGCAGGAAACTGGTTGATCCACTATGAGAAGGTGCTATTTATATGTTTGTTGCAGCTCCTCAGGCTGAAGAAGTCTTTTGGATAAAATACAAAACATTTCAGCAAAGAAGAATCTGTCCAGAGGACCTCACTTAACCTTGTTAGATTTAGCTATATGGATTATTGAGCATTCGTCTGGACATAAATACATTATTGTAATGTATGTAAGGAGAAACAAATGTCTTATCTCCTCTTCCCCTGCCTGGGTTGTTTGCTCAGAAGGAACACA